ACCCAATTTCAATCTGAATTTCTTTAAGGATTGAGCAACATATTTTTTTAATTTCGTGAGTATTTGGGCTTAGTTTTATAAAATGACTATTAGATCAACGATGTTGTATGGGATGGAGTGTTAGGCAACTAAGAAACAACATGTAAGTAAGATGAGTGTTGCAGAGATGAGAATGCTAAGGTAGATGTGTGGTAAGATTAGAAGAGACAGAATCAGTAATGAGTATATTCGAGAATGTGTTGGGGGTTATATTGATAGAAGAGAAGTTGAGAGAGAATAGGTTGAGATGATTTGATCATATTTAACGGTGACCAACAGAGGTGGTAGTAAAGGGATACGATGTAGTGATGGTAGATGGAAAGATTAGGAAACGGAGTAGACCTAAATTGACGTTGGCTAGCGTAGTAAATAAATATATGAATCTACTTAATTTGAATAACATAACGGCCTTAGATAGAGTCGAGTGCAGAAGAATGATTCATGTATCCGACCTCATTTGATAGAATTTAAGGCATGGTCTGATTTGGTTTGGAGTATTTGGGCTTAGATTCATAAATCTGAATTAAATTTGAGCGGGTTTCATCAAAAATATCAAACAACCTCAACAATTCAAAGTCCCAATTATATATACCAACATAGAAAAATTTTAAATATAAATTATCATGTGGAACCATCAATTTTTTTAATAGAAAATTTAAGTTTTACCAATTATAACTTTTGATAAAAAAAAATTTCCTTATTTGGTTCTAGCAAGTCACTTTTTAGCTATTTAAGTTAAAAAAATATTTTTACTTTTGATTTTAATTTGTTTAATTGACAACTGACAAAAAAAAAAATTCAACAAGATTTATCATGCTTGGCAAGTGCTAAAAAAACACAAATATATTCTTAATAGGATCATTTTCATGACGAGAGAGATAAATTTCGAGTATGAGTTAAACCATTCCAAATTTGTTAATTAGTTATAAGGGAAAATTGTAATGAATATTTATTGACAATAATTAAAAAAATACTGAAAATGAAGAAAAGTTTGTGAAGTGAAATTTTAATTTATATATTTGTTACTGTCAGTAAATAATTTTTTCCAATTTCATAATTTTGGTTGAAATTTGAAGGAGATATCTTAAAGGGGAAAGATTAAGTGATAATTAATGAAAACTACTAATATATTTTAACAATATTTCGCAATTATATATAGTATAAATAAATTTAGAAATATGATTTAATTTTCTTATACATGTCAAGAATTAACAGAGTTTAATATATTAATTAAACAATTAATAATTATATTTATAATAAAAGAATTAATAGTTACATAACATGTGTTTTTCATATTTTATAAATTTAAAAAATCTAAGAAAATAGAGCTTTTAGTGCTTAAAGACCCAATAATATTTTGCAGGGAACTTGGTTTGGGACTAAAATAGCCACAAAAAACAAAATATGTTATTTTAGTCCCAACAAATAAAGCATCACATCCAACCCATAATCATTACACTATTTTCTCACAAAAAAAGTCAAAAAAGTCAAAAAAACCAAACAAAAATACCAAACGACTAAAAAAGTCTCAGACTAAAAAAGTTAAAAAAGTCAAAAACTCAACTAAAAATGCCTTAAACACATTTTCAAGCATACACATTAGTACACAATGGAGCCAAACCTTTTCTTTTTTTTTTTCTTTTTTTTCTTTTCCCCTACTGTTTTTGGGCTTTTTTCAGCTCTCAAAATCTATGTTTTAATTGGCTAAAATTGGTGTTTTAAGCCATTTGAGGCTAAGGGGGTGTCTCACCCTTCTTTATTCCTTGTTTGTAAGGTTTTTGCACCTTTGTTTCCCACTTTCAAACTAACTTTTTTTAGGATTTTAACCACTAAATTTCAAAGTATTTTCAGCGGCAAAAAATATGTTTTGAAGTCTAAAATTGGAGGTGTTAGCCTCCCCTCCTTGTGTCTTGTTTGCTAGCCTAGTTAACTCTATTTGTTTGCATGATTTTCTAGCTTCTTGTAGCTATATTCTAGCATGTTTTTGCCTTTGTTTTAGACTACTTTAGCTCTATTTTTGGCTGTTTGGGTCAGTTGGGCCTTGTTTTGCATAGTTGTAGTGTAATAGTCCTTACAAGCTTGGTGTTTTAGGCCATTAGGCACCTCTTGTTTGAGTTGATTACAT